GGGACTGGGGGCACTGGAGGGGACTGGGGGGGAATGGGGGGGACTGGAGAGGGACTGGGGGCCACTGGGGCCACTGGGAGGAACTGGGAGCACTGGAGTGGAGCACTGGAAGCACTGGGGGGAGCTGGGAGCACTGGTTGTACTGGGAGCACTGGGGGACACTGGTTGTACTGGGAGCACTGGGGACACTGGTTGTACTGGGAGCACTGGGGACACTGGTTGTACTGGGAGCACTGGGGGGCACTGGTTGTACTGGGAGCACTGGGGACACTGGTTGTACTGGGGACACTGGGAGCGGCGCCGGGCCGCCAGGGGGCGCTGTGAACTCCCGCCAAGTCTCGCCTCCTTGACAGTTCGCCCATGACGTCACAACCCCGCGCCGCGCCGTGACGTCACCAACGCGCCGCGCGGTGCCGGCATGGCGGCGGCGGAGCGGGACGAGGAGGCCGCGGCGCCGCCACAGAAACGCTTCTACCGGCAGCGCGCGCACTCGAACCCGCTGGCCGACCACACCCTGTGCTAGTGAGTGCGGAGACCCCCGGGAACCGCCCGGGACAGCCCCGGAACCCCCCTGGTAACACCCGGCCCTGGGAGCCCCGGGACCCCGGGACGGCCCCGTGGGGCCCCGCGGCCGCCTGGAGCAGCCGGGCTGGGTCCCCGTCCCCTCCCCATCCCCTCCCGGTCCCGCCGTGCCCCCCGGTGCCCGCTCCGGTTCCCGGGCGGTGACGGCCCGGTGCCCGCAGCCCCTCCCGCCCTCAGGACATGGACTGGGCCTCGCTGTTCCCGAGCTTCTTCCCTCCCGACGCCCCCCCCGGGACCCCCCCGGCCCGCGTGGAGTTCGCAGATGTGGGGTGCGGCTACGGGGGGCTGCTCGGTGAGCCCGGGGCACCGGGGCGGGCACCGGGGTGGGCACTGAGGGTGGCACTGGGGGTTTGGGGTGGCGCTGGGGCACAGATCCCCCCACGACACCCCTGGGACCCCCTGAGGACCTTCGGGACCCCCCTGCCCATCCCGTGGTGTGGGTGAGCCCGGGGGTACCGGGGGCTGCTGGGGGGGCACGTTGGGCTGGGGGCGAGGGGGCACCGGGGGCGAGGAGGGCAGGGAGGGGCACAGTCGGGGCACGGAGGGCCCGGCGGGCAGGCGGTGCCGCGGGGCTCTCCCTCGGGGCTGTCTCTCCCCCTCCCTTCCCTCCCTCTCCCTCTCCCCTCCCTCCCCTCCCCCCCGCAGTGGCTCTGGCCGATCTCTTCCCGCGCTCGCTGGCGCTGGGGCTGGAGCTGCGGGCCAAGGTGGCCGCCTTCACCCAGGCCCGGCTGCGGGCGCTGCGGGCGGCGCAGCCCGGCCGCTTCGGCAACGTGGCGTGCGTCAGGGGCAACGCCATGAAGCACCTGCCCCACTTCTTCCACAGGGCTCAGGTGGGGCCCGGCCGCCGGGGCAGCGGGCGGGGGGCGGCTGGGAGCCCTGAGACCCCCAAAC